CTTCTGGAGAGGCATACGCTTCTGAAATAGAAGTGGGAGTATCATCCACGAGGTACACGAAGAAATCATCACCAAAGGTCTTTGCAGTCCTTTGTCTCTTGCCCCTACCAAGGGTTTCCTCGTCATCCTCCTCGGGATTTTCATCATGTGTTTGTTCATAATATTCCATAGGGATGGCAGGTTCAGGAGTCTCCTCAGATTCCTGTCTAGAAGTGCTTTGCATATCTCTCATAGGAAAAATATCCTCAAAGAATGTAGCATCCTTAGACTCCATAATTGTACCGATCTTCTGGTCAGGTACCTCAGATTTCACTACTAGAAATCTATAGCCAACGCTGTTCTTAGCGTAGCCCAAATTAATGCAGTCCACGGTCTTATGTCCAAGCTTACGCTTTTTGGGGATCGGCACGTTGACTTTCGCCAAACAGCCCCAAGTGTGCAGGTACGAGAGTGTCGTCCTTCTCTTTGCCCATTTCTCATAGGGAGTGATCTCACTATCCTTTGTCGGAACTTTATTCAGGACATGACATGCCGTCAATATAGCCTCCCCCCACCATGCCTTGGATAAACCCGATGTATCTAACATGGCGTTAACCAAATCAGTTAGAGTACGGTTTTTCCGCTCGGCCACCCCGTTTGACTGGGGTGAATAGGGAGGCGTCCTCTCATGAATAATGCCGTGTTCCGCACAGAAGGAATCAAACTCACTCGAGAAGTACTCTCCACCACGATCTGACCGGACTCGTTTAATTTTCTTTTCAAGTTGATTTTCAACTTCTGCCTTATAGATTTTAAAGTAGTGTAGAGCCTCATCTTTAGTATTTAACAGATACACATAGCAATATCTAGTGGAATCATCTATCAATGTCATGAAGTATCTCTTTCCACCTTTAGTCAACACACCATTCATCTCGCAAAGATCAGAATGTATGAGTTCTAATGGTGCCAGGTGTCTCTCCTCCGCGGCCTTATGAGGCTTGCGAGGTTGCTTAGCTTGCACACATGAAAGACACTTAGAACCTTTGGCTAAAGTGAAACTCGGGATTAAATCCAACTTGGCTAGCCGCGTCATAACACCGAAACTTATGTGACAAAGACGTGAGTGCCAAACCTCAGATTCATTAATACTCGAATGAATATGGTTCACGACTTTATTACAGAAATCTGCGAGGGAAAGGCGGAACATCCCTCCGCTCTCATAACCTTTTCCAACAAATAGTCCATACTTAGTAACAACTAATTTATTAGACTCGAATACCAACTTAAACCCTTCTCTACATAGAAGGGAGCCACTAACGAGGTTCTTTTTGATGGCGGGGACATGCTGCACGTTCTTCAGCTGCACGATCCTTCCCGAAGTAAACTTCAGATCGACCGTGCCAACACCATGAACAGAAGCACTCGCGCCATTCCCCATCAATACGGACCCGTGGCCTGTGACCTGGTAAGAAGAGAACAATGAAATGTCAGCACACACATGAACACCTGCACCTGTATCCACCCACCAATCGGTAGGCTGAAACACTGAAAAAACAGTAAATAAATTACCGTACCCAGATGCACCATTCTCATTGTTGCTCACAATCATGTTGACAGACTTGGAGTCCTGTCCTGGCTTCTTAAACTTGTTTGGGCACTTGTTGGCCCAATGTTCAGCCGAACCACAAGTAAAGCAGCCCTCATCCTTCTTGTTCTTCTTGAAGGTCTTCTTACCCTTCTTCTTAAAGTCGGCAGTCTGTTGGACACCGTTCTTTCCCCTGGGCTTGTGGGAATTGGAGTTCTTCTGATGCACCATATTGGCCACAGAAGTTCCTTCGACCCCTTTTTCGTGCGAGTCCTTTGCCCTTGAGTTCTGCTCAACACTCAGATGGCCAATGACATCCTCCATAGAGAATTCACGCCTCTGATGTTTCAGAGTGGTGGCAAAGTTCCTCCAGGAATTGGGGAGCTTAGCGATTATGCAGCCCGCGACAAATTTGCCCGGTAACTCGCACTTAAGAAGCTCAAGCTCCTTAACAATGCATATTATCTCATGAGCCTGCTCCAATACAGGACGGTTTTCAACCATCTTGTAATCGTGGAACTGCTCTATAATATACATCTCGCTCCCTGCATCGGCAGCCCCGAACTTAGATTCGAGCGCCTCCCACAAGTCCTTGGCAGACCGCATATGTAAATATGCATCAACCAGCTTATCTCCAATCACGCTCAGAACTGCCCCGAGGAACACCACGGTGGCCTCCTTAAACGCCTTCTCCTGTTCAGGAGCGATCGTTCCTGTAGGAGTCACACCGGTGACCCAGAACACGTTCATGGCCGTGAGCCATAAGGTGGTTTTAGTCTGCCAACGCTTAAAGTACGTCCCCGTAAACGGGGACGGTTTCAGTGCAGCAGCAAAACCAGAATTCGAAAAACTCCTACAGATATTAGGTTTTTGAATTGTTGAGTAAATAGGCAGTTTTTCGATTAAATTAATCCATGAATAAATCATGAGCATGACATGGACAGCATTGATAACATACTGATTATGATCTAACAGAGCATGTACTACGCATATAGTAGAGACATCTACGCATACCGCTAGTACTGCTACAACAGAAAGAAACACGAGAGGGATAAGCGATGTATACCCTCCAATCGGCCACGCGGTGGCGGTGGCGGTGACAGCAGCCGCGGCATCCTCGGCGGCCTTCTTGTCGGCCTCGGCTTTCTCAGCGGCGGCACGGTCGGTGTCGGTCGACATGGTGATGATGAAGGTGATGCGGACGTAGATGAACAGAAGCGAGCAGTCGCGTAGTCGCTACCCAAAAACCTAATCGCCCCTCTCCCCGTACAGGATCCGGAGAGGCGTGGTTTCGGAGGCCTGCTCTCCCGTCAACCGTGTACGCGGTGAACGGGACGGAGTCGCCGGCGGCAGCAGCAGAGGAACGACGTGGGCGTGGAGGCGGAGATGCGTTCTGTTTCGTGACGGCTAGGGTTGGCAGCGCCCCACATATATATGTGCGGCCGCGCGTGGAGAGACGTGGGCTGAACCCACGTCCAAGTCGGTAGCCCACGATCCGACGTCTCAGATCGTGGCCCCACCTGTCAAAGACTCTCCGTTCCTGACCGGCAAAAAGAAGCGCATAGGAGTGAGCTCGGCTCGGCTCAATCCCGCAACCCGCGGCGCGTCGTGACGAGGCGTGGCGTGGCGAGGCGAGCGGAGGAGGAGGAGTGCGCGAGGGCCTCATCTCTTCTCAAGCTCCAATAGCATGAGGGAGAGAGTCCCTTATAAACCACTCCAACTCTCCTTCCACTTCCAAGGTGGGACTAAACTTCCCACACACCTAGTGCCATATAACCCACATGGGCCCTTAGAGATTTTTCAGAAATTGCAATATGGGCCTAGAGCCCATCTCAGATTTCAGCAACGTCGGCCATGGCGGAGGTGGGGGGAAGCGAGCGGCGGGGACCGACGGGCGTATCCCGGAGGAAGAGGCTCCGATTTGGTTTTGCTTCGGAGAGTCAAATTCCGAAGTTCCCGGGAAAAAGGGTGAGCCCGCGCGATAAGGGAGCGGGAGCTTTTTCGTTTTGGCGTTACGGGCGGCGAGAACTGAATGGGCCGCCCAGCCCAGAAAAAGGTTCGCCAGGCTGTCCTTGGGCCTAGTTTCCGTTTGTTGTAACAAGAGACGGATAAGGCCTCCAAGTTTGGTGAATTTGTTGATGCCGAACCCGCTTCCTTGGACTTTGAGGGAAATCTTCTATATTTAAATAGGAGCCCCCCACTACCTGATTTTTCTGTCTCCTCGTGCGTTCACGTCATCCTAAATGTTTTCAGCCGTTTGATTGAACATATGTGGCTCAGATCTGCAGCAAGAGTTGATCCCCGTGTCTGCTCCACGCCCTTTTCGTTTGCTCCTCCTTCCTCGACGGCAAATTTGACAAATTTGACCTATAGACGAAATTAAATCACAGAATGAACTGTCCGTGAAATTATTTCACTCGGTTGATCCGTGGCGCCTAGCTCTCAGGCGCTGCACTAGTGCAACGCCCGGGAGCTAGGCGCTGCACTAGTGCAACGCCTAGAAGCTAGGCGCTACACTGTATAGTGTGGCGCCTAGCTCTCAGGCGCTGCACACCACTTAGTAATTTTCTGATCACACGTGTGCGACGCTGGCCGTGTAGCGCCTATCTCTGAGGCGTTGCACAGTGTAGTGTGGCGCCTTCGTGGCGAGCGTCACACAAAAAGGTCAGCCGCGTGAAATAGTTTCACGAATAGTTCATTCTATGATTTGATTTCGTCTATAGGTCAAATTTGTCAAATTTGCCTTCCTCGACCTGCGGAAGCGGAAGCGTACGTTTCTCTAATCGAAACGTCTGCGACTCCCCCCCATAAGCTGGCCCCCTGTCCCCCGTCCCCCCATCTCCCTCTCCCTCTCCCAAAACATCACAAACGCCATGCGGCGACCGACACAACAGAATCCAGCCTCCTCTACGATTTGCGGCCACCACCGGAGATAGAACCAGTGGCGGTGGCGGCCTGCGGGGCAAGGGCATGATCTCAAGAAAATTGATCTGGAGGAAGGGTTGAACTTCATGCAGATACAGCCACACACTTTGCCTCCTCCAGATCTGCTAGATGATGGGCAGGAAGACATCACATCGAGGATTTGAGGTCTTATGAACAGAGCGCTCGCAACAATCTGAGTTTCATGAAGGTACTGTTTGTCTTCTAATTCCACTTTATATCCCACCATGTCCTGTCATGCCTGACTGCCTCCGTTATCATCCTTCCACGCTAACAATTTTATGCTTACTACGTTCTTGATTGAATTCCTAGACGTTCGTTGCCGAGGGAGGTAAGGCAAATAATCGATGAAATGATCAACTGATGAAATTCTCCCAGTTTTCCTTCCCGGGGGTAATATAAGTTACTTTGCAAGGATTCTTGACTGTGACTGTACTTCCATGAAAGAAAATTCACTCCTTAGTAATTGAATAATATTTGCCCTTCAAATTTTAAGGGGACTCTGGTTGAAAAGTATCTATTATTTTCTATTCCTTGATTGTAAGCTTATTACATACTACTTCTTTGTTACCTACAAGTTACATGGTGACATGCGGTTCTGGGAGTTAGCAAACGACATTGCTGGAATCATTTATACGCTACCAACATATCGACACTGTCATTGTGGTGCTTATTTATTGAATTTAAATAAAACGTACTCTTACTGTCCTGCTAGAAAACTGAAGTATATTTTGCCCAATTTGCGATTATGGGTAACACTGACCTATTTCTATATGATCGCTGAACTTATATCCATCTTTAGTTTTGCAGGTAAAGCTTTACAACCACATCAAAGCCACTGATACAGCCATATTATGATGTAACAAGACCTGACAGTGTTCTTTTACATCAGTTAAGATGGCGCTTATGCAACCTGTTTTTATCCTTACTGTGCGATAGTTTGTTCAAATTTTCTCACTCTTTAAGTTCGTTTTTATACAGCCATTTCATTTGTGGTACTGACGTTTGGTCTGTGCCTTCAGGTAGAGCTAATGAATTTCTACTATTGTTGAACAGAGCTCTGTGAGATATGCGACGCTGTAAAGTTTTTGTTCAAGGTCAAGCTTATTTTTGCTTTTGATTCCAACAGAGTACAGAATACAATTTATTATATTTTAGAGGCAGTCAAATAGAGAATTTTGATTTGGAGTGCTAAGTTTATCATTTCAGAGATTGCAAGCGATGTTTTGCAATTTCTACAAAACAATTCTTCAGTTTCCAGTGGCCATTTTAATAAGATGCTCTGATGCTTTTACATTTGTGGATTGAATCCACCAACTAAATTAGAAGCTGACATACTCTGCATGATGTTCCCAAACCATCAGCGAAGCTTCAGATTTGTGCCTAGGCCAGCAAGCCTGCTCCAACCAGAAAATATAAAGAGGTGGACGCAGAGACAGCTAAAGAGAAACTGTGGGTACCGTTTGTTTGTGAGCTGTGTTGTCTGTTCATTTGGCGATCTAAAGCTATATGAGACGCATCCAACCTTTGTTCACCTCTCTAAACTATATCCGCAAGAGCTATTGTTAGTTTTCCTTCTTTTGCTTTTTTTTCGCGGGGATTCTTTTGCTTTTTGTTGTAATAACAGACTGTGATGGGTTTCATTTTTAGTGGAAAATAGAACCTGGGTGTTCCTCCCTGTTATGTACCAAAATGTTTGTTCCATTATAGAAAATTCATTTTCCTAAACAAGCGAGGATCACAAATAGTTGTCCTATGGAACTTTACAAGTTTAACTTACTGAGGTAGGTAGGGCTATAGGAGGTCGGAATCATTTATTTTTTTCTCACGAATGTTCCCATATTTTAGTATAGTAAGGTGTAAGGGGTTTACAACTTTATTAGATCGATCTCATGGAAAATCTTTTGTTTACATTGTCTACTCAACAAGGCTCTTGCAGTGTTGCTCACCTCGTATACACTTCCAATAGAAAGTTTATAAGTTGTGTTATGCCCTAAAGAGATGCTAAAAACCAGTACAAATTTCCGCAGCAACGCGCGGGGTATCCACTAGTTTCTTCAGAGTGAGGGTCCGGCTGGATGTTGGTAATCCGCTTAAAAAGGCTACCTCACTGATCCTTGGTGGTCAGCGAGAGATTTTTGCAGTACGCTATGAGAGGCTACCGGACTGGTGCCAGGTGTGTGGCATGATGGGGCATCAGTTCAAAGAACATGGTGACGGCTTCATCCTTCGTCTGCTCTTGTTTTCAAGAATCTGCGTGTGCTGGCCACCACCAGATGGGCTACCAGGAGAAGGAATAATAGTCAAAATCAGCAGCCGGTGAGGGGCGACAACTCTGAAACTGGAAGAGGGAACACCAAGGGGGATGAGATGGTCGATAGTGGGGCTGATGACCCTGAGCTGAGCCGCAAAAGATCATCAGATGCAGTCCTGACCGAAACACCAAAGAAGGGGACATGCATGGAGTTTGCCCTTGTTGTTAAAGATGCAGTAGGGACTCAGGTTCCACTGAGCCCACCCCCGAAGCAAGACCCTAAAAGAACAAAAACTTTGATGCAGGCTGACAAGAATAATACGAGTGGTGGAAGAAAAGCACCGGCTATCAAGATCAACAACAACAATGATGCGCATTTGGCGGCCTCCTCCGAGGAGGACCGCCGTGCGCAATGAATCTTCTGAGCTGGAATTGTCACGGGATTGGGAACTCCCCGACAATTCAAGAGCTGCGCGAAATCACTACAAGAAATATGTCAACTTGTGACCTTGACTATTGGTCACTGAATGGTCATTATTTTCCATTTGTGACCTTTTTGTGACCAAAAACAGATGGTCAAAAGCTGGTGAGGGAGTCCTGGATTAGGGGGTGTCCGGATGGCCGGACTATGACCTTTGGCCGGACTCCCGGACTATGAAGATACAAGATTGAAGACTTCGTCCCGTCTCCGGATAGGGACTTTCCTTGGCGTGGAAGGCAAGCTTGGCGATACGATATGAAGATCTCCTCCCATTGTAACCGACTTTGTGTAACCCTAGCCCTCTCCGGTGTCTATATAAACCGGAGAGGTTTAGTCCGTAGGACGAACAACAATCATACCATAGGCTAGCTTCTAGGGTTTAGCCTCTCCGATCTCGTGGTAGATCAACTCTTGTACTACCCATATCATCAATATTAATCAAGCAGGAGTAGGGTTTTACCTCCACCGAGAGGGCCCGAACCTGGGGTAAAAACGTCGTGTCCCTTGTCTCCTGTTACCATCTGCCTAGACGCACAGTTTGGGACCCCCTACCCGAGATCCGTCGGTTTTGACACCGACATTGGTGCTCTCATTGAGAGTTCCTCTGTGTCGTCACCGTTAGGCCCGATGGCTTCTTCGATCGTCAACCACGACGCAGTCCAGGGTGAGACTTTTCTCCCCGGACAGATCTTCGTATTCGGCGGCTTCGCACTGCGGGCCAACTCGCTTGGCCATCTGGAGCAGATCGGAAGCTACGCCCCTGGCCATCAGGTCAGGTTTGGAAGCTTAAACTACACGGCCGACATCCGCGGGGACTTGATCTTCGATGGATTCGAGCCACGGCCGAGCGTGCCGCACTGTCTCGATGGGCATGATCTAGCTCTGCCGCCGGCAACGCCCAGAGCGCTGCTCAGGTGTCCGCTCCGACCATTAACTTGGAGCCGACTGTGCTAGTCATGGACGAACGGTTGGACGCCGCCCCAGGAGCCACAATCTCTATGGCGATAGAGTCGAATACCAGCCTAGTCCTTTGCAAGGCCTGTGACTCCAAGGTGCCGGACTCTGTTCCGGACTCTGAATAGTCTGCACCTCTCCCGATCGAACCCGATTGGGCTCCGATCATGGAGTTCACCGCCGCGGACGTCTTTCAGCACTCGCCCTTTGACGATATCCTGGAT